GCTCTCCTTTGCCAGTGCGTGGGGGGGGGACGGGGGGACCCTCTGGGGGCCTCTCTCTAGGGCTCGTTGCCTCTCTTCCCTGCAATGGGCATTGCGCCTAGTAGTATTATAACTACAGTGAATTCAGAGATTTGGGGCTGCAGTTCCTTGCTTCATCTTCCCAGGCCAGAACATTAAGAGACACACTGACCAATGAGCCTTGTTGTTTCAAATACTTCTCTCACAGGAAGCAGAGATGGTTTCCCTATTATGCTTTGGAGGTATGGGATAACAATGAGTCACTTCTCTGCTAGAATAACTGTAAAATAATATTGTCTGAATGAGTAATAAAGTGGCTGGCTTCTTCAATGGGCATTTATAACATACTCTAGAAGAGGCTCTGTGATTAATAAAGCTTTCGGGGAGCCATCCATAGGGTCAGCTCACTCAAATGACATATTTGCATTTGTGTTCAGAGACAGGTGGAAGGAGACATCAAAGACCTAGAGAACAAGAACCAACACACTAGATCAAACGAAGGATCCTACATAGCTCTCCATTATGTTTCCAGAGGTTAGTCAGGAGAGATTAGACCATCTCCTAGTTTGTGCTCAATTCCCAGTACGCAAGAGGTATACTGTTCCTGAATATAGAGGTCCTATTTAGCTATAATGGCTAGCAGCCATAGACATTTTTTATTTTCCATTAATTCCTCTGATCTCTTTTTTCACAACAGACTCCTGAGATCATTATTAGCTTTTCCACCCAGAAATAAAAGATGACCATAGGACACTGAAAAACTCACCGGAGCCTTTCCTACGGTTTCCACAAAAACGCTTTTCTTTCTACTTCATGTCAGCATTGGTCAAATATGATAAAAATAACCTAATCATCCAAGCAAGCACCAAATGTGCTTATTATACATGCTAAGTATCCTCCTCACAGAATTTGACTGTCTTGTCCAGTATTTGGCCTGAAGTCCACTGGCCGCAGAGTTGGGTCTTGTGTGTGCTACCTGGTTGGTACAACATCTTGTGAGATTCCTCTTTGGTTTTGCCTTGGGCCACAAGTATAGTAAGCTTCCTCTCTAATGGAAGTTTTACATAAAGGAGAAGCAATTATCCAACAGAGCAGACCACAACAGCCTTGTTTATTTTATATTGATTAAAATTACAGTCATTGTGGAAGTCTGATGCTACCTACTATGAAGAGACTGCTTATTACAATACAGGAGAGGAGGAGTGTTGTTCCTTTAAGACTCATTAATCATCCACGGCCGGCTGCACATCTTAAAGTCATCTGGGACACCCAGAGGGTTAAGCATATGAAGGCTGATTATGGATGCAGATAGTTAAAGGCACTCTTATGCCAGACACTGTCAGGAAGGATGATGGGAGCCTCTTGCTTTGAGGATGGCAGGATCTTGGGTTTCTCTCCTCTAGGCAACCCAACTCCTCCACATCCTGCCTGATCTGTGATCGCTGTTGTTATCTGGCTTATTGTCTAGAAGACACCATCTTCAGCACTCAGCATCAGCAAGGAAAACTTTGGTTGGGTTTACATGCCTTGGTATAACTGAAAGAGACTACTGAAAAGAGAATGTGCTCTGAATTTCTCAAAAGATGTCCACAGGATCTCCAAATCATCCTATGGCTCTGCAGTCTTCACTACATACATCATGCACTGCCTTCCTCCCTGCACTATGCTTGAGGATTGCAAAAAGCATCTTCCCACAGCCCTGCTGACCTATTTCCAGCCAATCCTATCATGACCATTAATGGAGCTTCACTTGACCTGGTTCTAGGACTTCCATATAGCATGACTAGTGAGATACAATTCATGGAAATGAAGAGTAAAAGGTATGCCTAATAAGGGTATGTTATGGGGATGATGAATCCCTCTTTATCCACTGTGGGTCCATCTTCCACAGGGTTTACTGTTGAGACACCCGACAGTGAAGAAGGAATTTACCTTTCCCACTGCTATTTGTCCCTAATTTCTGTGTATTATAGTGTACTCTGAAGTTCCTGGCTAGGTAACTGCTGCCATTGAGACTCAGCAGTATTCAGGAGGTTGCATCCTTAATGCATCTCAAGTGGCCAATTGCTTAGAATCAGAACACTCTTCGGTACACAGTGCTGCCCTCCATGTGCCAGGCAGCATGGCCACAACACATTTCCTAGTGCTGTCACACATGTCTTGGCTTGACTGTCTAGGGCAGGCAGATGGAAAATGGAGGGGGGGAAATTGAGTTACAGCCAGTAAGCAATGTCTGCACTCCTGGCCATTAGGGGCTGTTTTGTATGCTTTGGGTCCAAAGATCCTTTCTCTCTATGTGTGTGTTTTTAATAATCAGATGGTTGGATGCATGGCAGGTTCATGTCAGTTTTACTCTGGAGACAGGGCTTTATTAATGTCTAGAAGCAGATGGCAAGTGCAGATCTATGAAGGCAAAATGATGTGACGCTGACAAGCACCTAACCATGCAAAAGTGGCATGATCACAGATTGTCTACAAGAAAGGATAATCAGTGGCAGGACTGGCATGCTTCTCCTCCTCCCAGCAAGCACTCAGTTTCTTAAAAGAGAGGCACTGAGGCTCAAGCCTTCCTGCAATGCATGCCATCTGCCCTGAAAACCTTGCTCCTTAATCCTAAATGGAGGAGGGACACAAGTTCAGGGATGACTTTCTTTATGATAACTTCACATATTGCAAGATTCAGATGTGGGACTGAAAACAGATTCTGAGGGCTGAGCCCTAGCGCAAGTTAAGCCTTGTTCACTTTTAAATTGGTGGCTGCATGCACTGGTCATGGGAATTAATCTCCCATTACGTTTGTTGTGTTGTTAAAAGAAAGATAAGGACTCAGCATATGCACGGACAACAAAGCAGTCAGACCTTTCATAACGTTTTCCTATTAAAAGAAATCCAACAACATTTTGATTCACCCCCAAGTTACTGTGGCTATTAACATAAAGCTTCTCCTCTGTCTTTCCGAGGGGCTAGGTCTCAGTGAGTGTCTCGGCTTTTGCATTCTCATTCTACATGCCCCCTGTGCTGGCTGCTGGAATGCTTGGTCTGGGCTCTCAAATTCCCTTTTAAAGGCACAGCCTTCAATCCCTCTGGCTCCTTTAACCTGCTAGCATACTGTTGCATGGCTAGCAGCTGTGTTGGATTTGTTGCCACAGCAACAGACAGAGGCTGGGTGGGGTCCTGGGTACAGAGCATTCTCTTAGTGGATATATTGAGGGAAACATCTGAGAAATGTGCCAGTATCACCTGAAGGGCAGGTAGAGTAATGGATGGTTATTGCAGAAGCTGACACAGCTGAGTAGTGTTACTGAGCTGCCTGGGAAATGAGAAGCAAGTTAGAAAAGTATCTTTTCTTTGGTTGGGAGGGGATTAAGAAGGGCAGAGAAAGAATACCCCAAGAAGTGAGCCTTTAAAGGCAGATGGAGGGCACAGGCTGAGCACTTCATGGGCAGAATGCCTGCCACACACTCACAGAGCATGGGCTTTGCCAGAGGTTTGTGAATATTGTGCTAGGGTTCAGATTGCACTGTACAAATCGAAGTGATTGGCCTTAAATTGTTTTATTTGCATAACTCATTTTTTATTGTACAGCTATCCTTTCCAGAAATTGGAAATATTTGCACCTGTTTTTGGATGATGACTAAAGGGGGGGGGAATTCAATGGCAGAATCATGAGGGCTGGAAAAATACTCGTAAAGACCAAACAAAGCTCTTATCTTCATGATTCTATTGCCACCCCCAGATTATAAATCAGAGGGCACATTCCATGCTCTGAAATGCAGCCACACCAATTCTTAGTCCATCCCACTCAAACTAAATATAGCCAGCTATATTTAGCGCCCGCCCTCCAAGCTTGCCTATATATTTTTAATGTACAGCTGCTTATTCTCCTCCTGCCAACTCAGACTCTGAAGTACTGTACAATGAACCTATTTCCCAGGAACCCATCATGTGCACTAATATTAATATAACCGCCTCTGTTTTACGTATATAAGGAAAGGGGTGAGGGGAGAAGGACCTACCTTCAGGGTACAGAAGGGCCTAGAAAATACCAGAAGCAGGGGTTTTTTTTCCTGATCCTTCTGATCTCCACTGTTAAATGATCACATAGCCTTTGTTTGTAATGGGAAGTGTTAGATGTAGATCTTTTTTATCACAAAGGACTGACTGGATGCTTCTCTGGTATCATGACAGCAATTCAGTGTCACAAAAAGGACTCACCTCCAGGACCCTGCCGCTGATGTACCGGTTGCAGGTTTCACATTTAATGCCAAACTGGGCGTGATAGTCAGATTCACAGTATGGAATGCCATCCCTGTTGGAAAGATTCAGTATATGAGGCACTACGAAGAGAACAGGACAGTGAGGAACATCTCCTTTCCTGAGCACAGAGGTCCACGCTGTTTTGCACTACAGGCAAATCGAAAAGGCCAAAGGCTAAAATGCAGTAAGTGTGACTGGCCTTGTACACTATTGAAAGCCTTGCTAAAGTGCAGGGGAATGCCCTTCTAGAAGCCTACTCTGGTGTTCAGGCACTAAGCAAGGAATTGACTCTAGTAAATGCAAAGAACTTAATGAGGGCCGCCTTTATGCTGTTTTTCAGGCTTTTCTTACCCTTCTTATCCTCTCCCCTCAGGCCATCTGATGCTGTAGCATGTCCTTCCGCCATCATAACACTAGCTTCTTAGTGAAAGGAGAAGGCCATGTTTCAGATTTCACCTCATGTCTCAGTGGTTGCTGAGTACCAGCAGGAGGGCAGCTTCAAGAGTATGAAGATACCGTATGGCAGGAAAGACAGCCACCAGTCAAATTAGTCCAGCATCATTCTCTTTGCTCTTGAAAGGTATTTAGGGATTTAGGCTGAGGTCCCCTGCTGTGAAGGTCTCTCACTTGCTACAATTCTATAGCTGCATCAGTCGGTTCAAAATGCTGGTCATCACTGGTGGTAGGATAGTTTTGGAGGAAATGAAGCTGCATGGGAGACTGAATGGAACTGTAAAAGGACACAACAGAATGACCTGCCTGCTACTGTGAATCTGCTCATAGCTCGCTAGTGTCCATTCAGACCACAGCACAGGTATTTGATTTGACACTGGCGGTTCATGAGCTAGGCCATGTGTCAGGGAACCTTTCCCTCATTGCCTACTGTCAGTTGTATGAGATTGATGCAGAAATAGCAACAACAGGCCTGTGCCAGAGCTTCCTCAGCAGCAGCCCCCGTTCTGTAGAATGGCTTTCCTGAGTGCGTCCCGCACTCTGCTATCATTGCAGAAAATATGCAAAACAAGGAAGAGCTCTTCCAGAGGATGGGTTACTGTTCTGAGGTTTTGTGATAGGTCCAGGGTTGGGATTTATTACAGTGTTTTGTGTTGTTTTGTGGATTGATTTCATCGCTATGTTTTGAACAACACTATAACCCACCTTGAATCCTTTTTAAGGACAAAAGCAGGTTAAAGGGGCTGTAAAGACGCAGACAAATAAAATGGGTAAGCAAGAACTGGGCCTAATGCTAGAGCCATCAAATGGGTAGGAGAGAGCTAGGGTTGCCAGCCTCCAGGTGGGGCCTGGGGATCTCCCACTTTTACAACTGATCTCCAGCTGACAGAGATCAGCTCCCCTGGAGAAAATGGCTGCTTTGAAGGGTGGACTCTATGGCATTGTACCACGCTGTGGTCCCTCCCCTCCCCTCCCCTCCTCAAACCCCGCCCTCTCCTGGATCCACCCCCAAAGTTCCCAGGTATTTTCCAACCCAGACTTGGCAACCCTAGAGCAGTGACTCTCCTCATCCCAATGAAGCAGGCATAATGATCCAGACTGGAATGATTGTACAGAAGAAAAAGATTATGAGAAGTTAAAAGGGGTAGAGGAAAGCAGCAATGCATTCAATGCCCAGTGTGCTCTTTCAGCAGTGGCAAGACTGAGAAAAAACAGCTTTGCACATTATTTTCTGACACAGTAATTGATATTCATTTGGGGACACGCACACGCACACACGCACACACACACACACACAGGTTACTGTTCACATTGTTCTTGTCAGTTATTTTTTTTTTTGCTTATTTCCCAATGCATATATTTATTTTGTTTTATTCTGTTTAGGAGATTTGTGTCCCACTTTCCTATTCAAGAACTGACAACTAAAAATTACATCATAAAATGATAGATTCCCCTCTGTATGAGGAAAAAACTAGGCAGTGGTATCATTGATCACATATTATTTTTTTGCCTGCTTTTCCCAGAACAAACATTTATCTCTCTGTGAAATGACCCAGAGTGGAGGCCCTTTGCCCAAGCAGCCATGAATTGCTCCGGGGCTAAAAGTATTCATTGATTAATCAGTGTGAGTGAGCAATTAAATAATTAACTGCACAATAAAAACGTAAGGCAGTTTTAAAATCGGATTTTAGTGAAAGCTATCCAGTAAGTTTTAGTGCTGACAGCAATTTTACAAACAATTATCTTCAGTGCATTTAAGGTAGTTTTAACCCCATTTTTTTCTGTGTTTAGCAAAGAGAAAATGTTCTCATTATATAGCCTCAAATATCAACTGGCACTGCGACTTGGTCATATCACTGTAGTTAACTCCTATCCATTTTCCTATTAAAAATATATGCAGCATTTCCTACAGCATACTTTGTGTGCTGACAAACGCATACAGCCTGGATGAAAGCTGACCTGCTGGTTCCCTCCCCAGTGGTTTGCTGTCTGGCACCAATGTTATCTGATTGCCCACAGAACTCTGTATCAACAGCATGGCCATAGCCAGACATTTTGTGATGATGGGTGGCCTAAGGGTACATGAGGGAGGGATCATCATAAGCAAAACAGCAAAAGCTTAAACATGAAGTCTAAGATGGTATGAATTATTTGTTAAATGCCAGATGCCTGCATTCTTTTTAGGGTTGCCAGCCTCCAGGTGGGGCCTGGAGATCTCCCGCTTTCACAACTGATCTCCAGCTGACAGAGATCAGCTCCCCTGGAGAAAATGGCTGCTTTGAAGGGTGGACTCCATGGCATTGTACCACACTGAGGTCCCTCCCCTCCCCAAACCCCACCCTCTCTCGAATCCACCCCCAAAGTCTCCAGGTATTTTCCAACGCAGAGCTGGAAACCCTAGGTCTTGTTGATTATCTCAGCAGAAGCCAAGAACTTCTTACGGATCCATTAAGAAGAGTACTGTTGGCCTATTTTTCTTTATATCTACATTTTAAACAGGCCTAGGGCTTTAAAGAGTACTATGAGTAAGTTTCCTGCACACTATATAGTCTCTGCAGCAGACCATGCTTCCTCTTCCTATAAATCTTCCATTTGATCAATGGGCCTTTGCCCAAACATAAGTTTTAGCAGAAAAGGAAGCGTGCCCCATGTTAGAGATTATCTAGCACATGGAACTCACTCATAGGATCCCAAACCTGATAATTACCTTTTTATAATGAAAATTCATACAGGGGCCTCAAATATTCCTGAAGGTCCAAGTCTCCTTAGGCAGTCTCTATAGATTACTGTTTTGATGTATAGTGTACAAGAGGTAAAAGAGACTTTACAAGAGGCTCCTGCTTCCTGTGAAACTGATGGGAGAGGAGCCTACCTAAAAAAACCCTTTCTGAATCAGATCAAAGGTCCATCTAGTCCAGAATGGCTCCAAAATGCCCACAGAGGGGGAAAGCTGCCTTCTTTTGCTACTCCCCCCCCCCCACTGATATTCACAGGCATCCTGCCTCTGAAACCAGACATTTCGTTTCTCTGTCAAGGTTAACAGCCAATGATAGATTTATTCCCTGTCTTATCATCTTTGAAAACTAATGGCCACCTGTATGTCATGTTGGCATGCAATCCTTCTGCATAGGAAATTGCATGAATTACTGATGTGTGTGGAGCGCATAGATCTCACCACAGTAAGAAGTGGGCAGTTCCTCACTTGGCATATTACACGGGAAGGGCAAAACAACGACAACAGTAAAGCATAAGTCAATCATGCTTCTTTCCCCTGCCTGTTTATAACACGAAAGCTGCACTAGGTTGTGTGCCTGGTGGTGCAGCATGGAGTTCAAGGGCAGAGTTGAAATGCTTACTGTCATCAAACAAATGAGATACTGGAAGCTCTGTGAACCCACCTCCAGCATGTTTTTATTCTTAAATAACAGCTGTGAAGATTGGGGCCATGGATTGGGGCCATGGAATGCAGATTGGGGCCATGGATCAGGGAAAGGTTCTTTTTAATTCCTGCCCACCGTGCTGTTTTCTTGACCTCAAGTGGCCTTCCCCCCCCCCCCCCCCCGAGCTACTATGGGCAACCCATAAGTCAATCTATATGTTTCTCCCAGTGGGGGAAACAGCAGTTGAAGTCAGAAACCTTTTCCTCATTGTGCTATTTTAAAGCCCCGCCCTGGTCATACCATAGATCTGATCCAAATCAGGGCCTCCACTGCTATTCTTTCATGGATCTTCCAGTATTTTGTCTGATTTGACCCCTAGGCCTGAAGCAATCTGCAGCCTACTCCCAGAGGCATGACATATGTGGGCCAGGAAGAGACACATACTTGCTAATGTATTCTCCTGTCAGGATGATTCCACAGGTTTGGCACTTGAAGCAGCTGACATGCCACTGTTTCTCTAGGGCAAGGAGTGACTGGCCTTGCTTGATTTCCTCCTTGCAACCTGCACATTCTAAGGAACAAGAGAAACAAAGAGAATTAACAACACAACAAGAAGAGGAATAATATCTTGAACATGCCGGCTCTTCAATCCGATACTGAAGGACAGTATCTGGGGGTGCAAGAATGACAGATCTTTCCTTTCAATCCTTTCAGACTCTGGGCCATTTTATTCCTTGGGTTGCAAAAAAAGTGTACTAATAGTCACATGGGCCAAGAAGCTGCATTAGGAAGGGGGAACGGCACCACAGCCTCTCAACTCACATGGGTATTAGTCCATGTGAGTCCTGTGACCTCAGGAATAAAATTTCCCAGGGTCAGAAAAGACTGCTGGAACAACCTTGTCTAGTCCCCTTTTGAATCTTAAAGATATTTGTCAGTTCGCCATTCACCATTACTCTTGCTCTTTGTTCACTATTTATAGCTTGAATCATCCTACTAAAGTTTTCCCCTGCTTCCACCATCCGCAATGTCTCTGTAATAAATGGCCAAGTAACATTGTCAAATGCTTTTTCTGCATCTAGGAATACTAGTGCTAATTGCTTACCATGATGTATTTCATAATATTCATTAGGCATCTGAGGTTATTTCTCATCTGTCTTTTAGGTAAGAATCCCGCTTGATCATGATGAATCACTTTCGTTAAAACATTTTTAAGTCTTTGAGCTAATATTGCTGCATATATTTTATAGTCCACATTCAATAAAGATATTGACCTGTAATTTGTAATCTCTTTTTCATCCTGGTTTTGTTTGAGTATCAAAGAAATAATTGCCTTTATCTCCTCTTATATTTATCCTAGCCTTGGAAGTACTAAATAATGTAATAAGAGGGAATTTTTGGACTAAAATTGAAAGGAGAAGAAATGATATTGCATTTATTATGGAACAACCGAAGGAAGTAGCCGTTAAACTAAAAGAAAGGATTCAAGAATATGGTCAAGTAGCAGGACTGAAAATAAATGCAAACAAAACTAAGATTCTGACAAAAAATATGGATGTGAAACAAAGAGAAAAGCTATTTCAAGCTACTGGATTCCAAATAGTCGACAAGGTAAAGTACCTTGGGATTATAATCACTAACAAGTGTTTATAGCAACTACAAAGTGCTATGGGAAAAAACTAAACAAGACTTAGACAGGTGGAAAATCTACAACTTTCCATGATGGGAAGGATTGCAATAGTAAAAATGAATATATTACCCAGATGGATGTTTCTCTTTCAAACAATTCCTATTTTACAAAACCAAAAGATTTTCAAGGAGCTAGATCAATTAACATCCAAATTTATTTGGCAAGGGAAGCGAGCACGAATAAGACTTAAAATTATGCAAGAAGTTAAAGAGAAAGGTGGGTTTGGAGTTCCAATTTTGCTATTATATTATAGGGCTGCAGCATTAGCCTGGATAAAGGATTGGATTACATTGGAAGATAGAAGGCTACTTAAACTCGAAAGACATGACTTAGCTTTAGGATGGAACGCATTTTTATGGTATGAGAAAGCCTCAACACAGAAGTATTTTAAGCAGCATTGGCTAAGAGCGGCTTTATTAAAAGTATGGGATCCAACCTATAGAAGGTTTTATATTAAAAAATCGAGACTCATAGTACCATTGGAAGCCGTTACCTTGCCAAATGTCTTTACAGGGGAGGAGCTATTTAGATATCAAGATATTTTGGACGAGAAAGATTGCTTGAGAATGCCAGATCACTTGTCTTGGTGGTATAAAATGCAACTGGAATCTATCTATAATAAGGATAAAAAGATTGGTTTTAATGATAAACTAACTGAATTAAGAAAGACTCTCGTATCATCATATGATAAACTGATAAAGAAAATCTATAAAATTTTAGTAGAGGATTTGTTGTTAGATGAAACAGTAAAGCAAAATATGATTTTGTGGGCTCAAAATGTACGTCACAATATTACTTGGAGAGAGTGGGACCAGATATGGTCTAAAAACATTAAAATGACCAAGGCAGTCTCACATAAAGAAAATATGTATAAGATGTTTTATAGATGGTATATTACACCAGATAAACTTGCTAAGCAGAATGAACATTGTTCAGATAAATGTTGGAAATGTAAAAATAAGACAGGTACATTTTATCATATGTGGTAGCTTTGTGATGTATCAAAGAGATACTGGAGATGGGTCCACGAGATGATGCAAGAGATATTGAGAACTAAAATACCATTTTTGCCTGAAATATTATTATTAAACATATTTCCAAAGGACTTTGATAAAGGCGATAGATATTTGATAGTGCATCTATCTACGGCAGCAAGAATATTATATGCAAAATATTGGGAACAAATGGAAGCACCAAAGAAGCAAGAGTATGTGAATAAACTGTTGGAGACGGCGGAAAATAATAAACTGTCATAGTTGATGGGAGGGACAACAAACCCAACATTCCAAAAGATGTGGAAAAAACTGTATGACTGGTACAATATAAATGCATACTTTAAAGTAATGAAGTAATGAAACTTTTGGTAGGATTAATCTCTTTTAGTTAAATAGAAACTATGGTAAAAGAGTAAACAGAAACTTAAGCAAACCATAAGAAATTTTTAATAAGGTAATAGAGTTAAGAGAAAATATACTGATCTCACTGTATGTTTTTTGTTTGTAAATGGGTGTTGGTGATGTGTTATATGTATGTTTGTTAGTGTATAATATGAAAAATAATAAAAGTGTACCTATGGGTACTTAAAAAAAAAGAAGACTGCTGGAACGAGGAGAACACAGGAAAGATCTCTGACCACTAGTGCTTTCCACTGGTGGATTATGGGATCCAATCCACTGTGTGTCATAGTCCAAAATGTACCCAAGGTCTGAGACAGACAGGAAGAATATGTAAGTATTTGTCTAGTAAGTATTTGTCTCTTTATGTGAGTGTATTTGGAACTTCTCAACTGCTTGATTGTAGGGGGTGATCTCCAGACCCAACCAGACACAAGCCAAGCTGGTGGTGACCATAGTGTAGGTGATCTAAGAAGCAACTTACTCTGTGGACAATGCTGTTACTACTGAAACACTATCCTGAATTCAGGCAGCTTTTCTAACAGCAAAAAAAGTCAAATCAAAGGCAGCAGAGATGCCCTCAGAGTGTGGAAACTGAGGCAAGTGTTGAAATTATTCATTAGGGAGCCCGCAGCTGGGCTTGTCTGTATCTGAGGGTGTGTGGAGCCATATGTGGAAAGTGACTGCTGAGGACAGCAACAGAAAAGGAAGTGAAAATGGAACAAAATGATCCAATTAATATTTTGAGTGATTTGAATGAATGCTGCTCATCAAACAGTTATCTTCTTAGAATATATCCGAATTGACAATATTAAGGCTCAGCCCCACAAAAAATGTCAATCCTGGCATGGAAAGATTTTAATCACATTTTCTGAGCCTGGCTTGTTTTTGCATATTTTACTGTTGTCAAGCTATATACTGAAGAAATATGTCTGAGCAAAAAAACCTCTAGAGATCCAGTTTGCTGCTAATTTTCTTCTCTTCCCGGTCAATAGCATAATGTCATTTTAGCTCTTGATCCAAGGATTACAGCCAGTTTTGGCATGGTGCTGATTATAGTCAGTTAGGAAAATATTAAAAACAATCCTAAATGGAACTCTGGGAGAACCTAGCACAGTCACAAATGAAAACTAAGAAATGTAAGTGGGACTAGTGAGTAGAGTCACTATACATCACCAGGTTTTGAGGGTGCTAGGAGCCACTTTGTTTAATTTCCACACTGTGTTGACCTATTCTGAGCAAGGGTCAGGAATTAGTTTACTGGTGGCAGCCTCCCCGAGCTCCGGCTGAGTCCACCAGAAATTATAGAAATTAGACATTTTTGGCCATTAGCTAGTATAGGAAGAGCTGTTCCCTAACCTCTGTCTATCTTAGCCATGTCTGGCCTGTGGAGATATTTACTGGCCTCCCTTCCTTTCCCATTTCCCTTGCTGCCTGTTGAGACCAGTGGCAGGAAGCATATGGGCTTGGAAGCTATGATGACCTTGATTTCACTCTAAATGGCTCTCTCTTTCCC